ATGCCCGGTTAATTTTTGCATTTTTAGTAGAGATTCGGTTTCACTATGTTGACTAGGCTGGTCTCGAACTCCTGACCTCAAGTCATCCGCCCTCCTCGACCTCCCAAAATGCTGGGGTTATAGGTGTGAGCCACCATGCTCGGCCTCCTCAGTATGTCTTTAATCTCACCTGCTGGTGGTGTGGCTCCTTGTCTTTTCTCAGTAATAGGTGTGCCAAGGCTTGTCCTCAGTCCCCTTTCTCTGCCTGGACTCTGTTCACTGCTGCAGGTTCTTGCCTTTAAATATAACTCTCTGTCAACGCCTACATTTGTATCCCCATCCCAGACATGTTTTCTTGTTCATCGGGATTGATATTCAGCAGCCTGTGGGGTGTCTCCACTCAGATGTGTCCCAGACTTCTCCAATGCAGCAGGTCACAGCTGAGCTACGGATGTCCCCGCCATACTCATCAAGTGTTCTTCCCCATCTCAGGTTACACTGACCAGCACTTCTGTCTCTCAGGCCCAGCCTGTGGAGGACTCTTAAGCACCCCTTTATTTCTCTTCCTCCACAAACAATCCACGAATTGCAACTACCCTCTTGTGTCTTCTTTCTGAATACTTCCAGAAATCCAACACTTCTTACTACCTCCATCGCTGTCCACTGAGTCAGCACGGTCTCCCACAGGGATTCCTGCATGGTACCAGTGATCCTTCTAACTTATCATCACTGCCATGTTCAAACCCTGCAGTGGCTCTCATTTCATTCAGAGTCAAAGCCCTTCTCTTAAAGGCCCTGCATGACCAGGCCCCTGCATCTCTCTCTCCTCATCTCCTGCCTTCTCACCATCACCTCCCACATTGTCCCCCTAGCTTTTAGGAGGACACCAGGTCATGCTCCTTCCTGAGGGCGTTGGTATGAGCTGTTCTCTCTGCTTGGGCAGTGCCTCCTCCAGGTTAGATACTGATTCGCTTGCATGGAGAACTCCCACTGTGTTTAGATCCTTGTTGAGCTAATGTCTTTCCAGGGAGAACTCCTTTCTGCACACCCTCCCCATCACATTACCATTATTACTTTTTTTTTTTTTTTTTTTAAAAGACAGAGTCTTGCTCTGTTGCCCAGGCTGAAGTGCAGTGGCATGATCTTGGCTCACTGCAACCTCTGCCTCCAGGGTTCAAGCAATTTCTGGCTAAATTTTGTATTTTTAGTAGAGACAGGGTTTCACCATGTTAGCCAGGCTGGTCTTGAACTCCTGACCTCAAGTGATCTGCCCGCCTCGGCCTCCCAAGGTGCTAAGATTACAGGCATGAGCCACTGCGCCCAGCCTCCTTATTACTTTTTAAATTTTTGCAATGGAGTTTATTATCTTTGAATATACTCCACAGTTTACTTATTCATTCTGTTAATTTTTGTTGTCTTTCTTCCCCAGCTAGAACAGAAGTTTCAAAGAGAAGAGATCTTTGTTTTGTCCACTGATATATCCCAGGCATGTGAAACAGTGTTCAGCAGGTTGTTTATGGTCATTACAATTTGTCAGTTACTTTTTAATACATAATTGTGGTAGAATTAGATCTCTGGCTATTAGGCCTTCAAAGGCTGAGCCTGAAAAGTGATCGTTGAGGCCTGCTATAGCTAATGATCAAGTTCTGTGCATACCTCCCTGATGTACACAGGCCCCTTCCGGTCCCACTCACACATCTTTGGGGATCAAAAACTTTGTCTACTTCCCTTAACTTAGATCGGCCTTCGCTTTTCTTTTTCCAAGGCCAAATCTCCATTGCAGGACTTGTTATTTTCTTTTTGTCTAGGCTTGAAATGGCCCTCTTTTATTTCCAGGAATTCCCCTGTGTTCTTAATTTCTTTGTTCAACACCCCTGGCAACTTGACATGGTAACTGGACTTTGCTCCTCCTGAGTGGAGGGTGGATGGGGAGTGCTGGCCAGGGGTGTCTCTCCACAGGAGGAGGTCGGGAGGAGAGGGTTATATCTTGCTCCAGGAGCCCAAGTGACTGTAATATCATAGAAGGCCGCATTTTTTCATCTTATTCTCATGACTAAGAGAAATGTTGCCAGTGTTTTCCTAAAATTCAGATATACTATATTTAAAGCATTAGCAGAATGCCCACAAAAATGAGTTATGTGAATGAATAACTGATCGGTAAACCTGTTACCTACTAACAATAAAAAGCGAAACAGCAAATGACATTAGTTTGATATGATCGCTTTTCTCTCATGGCTCCTCTGTACTGACTCTGAATGAATGTCGTTTTTATTCTCCTGTGTGTGTGCATTTTGTGTGTGTTTCTGTTTCCCACTGATTATGTGTGACAGAGGAATTGTCAAGGAAGAAACTATGCCTTCTGGGTCTGTTGGAGCTCTGACTTAGAGCAATGGCGTGGCATACCAACAGGATTTAATTTTTTTTTTTTTTTTAAAAGCACTTCATATAGTTTCTAAACCCTGGACACTAGAAGGAAGGCCTGGAAAGAGGATGACTCCTGTGTACCAGGGATTCATTACCAAGCCAAGCACTTTGCCAGACCACTTTGTCACATCACTCTAATGCCAGTACATTGTAACTGTAGCTTTTGTTCCCAGGGATTTGACTGTTTTCGCTGTCTGCTTTGGGTTAAGATCACTAAGCATGTTGGAAAGGAGACCCTGAATGAGTATCTTGCTAATGTTTAAAAAAACAAAAGTCTCAGGATGGGAATGGTAGCTCATGCCTGTAATCCCAGCACTTTGGGAGGCTGAGGCGGGCAGATCATTTGAGGTCAGGAGTTTGTGCCCAGCCTGGCCAACATGGTGCAACCCAATCTCAACTAAAAATACAAAAATTAGCAGAGCACAGTGGTGGGTGCCTGTAGTCCCAGTTACTCAGGAGACTGAGGCAGGAGAGTTGCTTGAACCCAGGAGGCAGAGGTTGCAGTGAGCCAAGACTGCACCACTGCACTCCAGCCTGGGCAATACAGTGAGACTCTGCCTGGAAAAAAAAAAAAAAAAAAAAAAGTCTCAGCCTCTCAGCAAGAAACACCTTGGATTAGTGCTACCTTTGTAGCACTCTCTGGCATCATTAAGCACAGATAAAGTAAAATTGTTCCTAGACTGTGAGCAGGGTGTGTCCCTAGTTCTGAACTTCCCACAAGGTTAAGGGGAAATCTTTTTGAAAACTCTCAGCTGTGTGTATTTTTCTCACACAAATAAAAACAAAGGACACAAGGTTCGGCCAAGGAGTTCACCGTTTTTAGAACCCATGTTAAGTTTTTGCTAACATTTGAAGAAAAATGGAGATGCTTGTATTGCTTAAACCATTTGAGAATTCCCTCATATTTGATAGATTCTGCTACTGCTCAGCGTGACCAGAAAAGCGAGAGGATGAATGTGGGGTGCGTGTCTTTCGGATGGTCCCCTGCAGGCAAAGGCCCTAGGCTTTGACAATTTCTCCACATGCTTAGGGGCTAGCTGGTGTTCTAATTAAACCAACACGTGTTCTCATAGACTTCATAGCCATCAAGGAATCAGAGCCTTACCAATGGGGAAAAGGAGCTGGCTTGGCGGCGTCCTCCGGAGCGGGGTCTCTCCGTGAGCCCCTGGGAATGTCTGCGGTGCCGAGGTCGGATCGGGATTGCAGCAAGCCCAGCTCATCCTTCCCAGTTCTGCCAGCGTTCCCCCTCTTGTCTGTTTGTTTGTTTTTGCGTCTCTTTGGTTTAACTTTTGCTCCCTGACTGAATACGTGCTTAATGCTAGACGAAGGACCCTTCACACCCAAGTGTGTGTCTTCGTTCCAAGATCCACAATTTCATTCGGTTCCTGCCGGCTCTCCAAGTTCAAAACTATGCCCGCGTTTAGGAAATGAATTCAAAGCATGCGGCAAGGGAGACGTTCGACAAACCCGGATGCCCTGGCATCCTCGAGTTTCTTTCAGTAAAATCTGAATTTTGTTCCAGGGAGGAGCTGGGTTTGTGATTGCTACAAAGTGTCAGTTGCACCTAAATACGACATACTGTTCTTTGGGACATAAATTCTGTTTCATAATAAGAATTGTGTTTTTCCTTTCCTAAAATGTGAGGGTTTTATATGGACCTTTTTAAAATGAAAAATTGAAAGTGCTTGTTGTCAAGGCCAGAGTCAGACTCGCGGAAACCAGACAGAAAATATCTGGACTCCTCCTACTCACACATGAACCACATTGAAATGTGTCCAAATACAGTTCTTCAAAATCCCGGCTGTTCACAGGATGATTTGTTACTTCAAAAAGTTGTTTGCTTCAAATCTGAATTGTTTTAAAAGATTCTGTTGCTTGCCCTGCTTTGCGGACGCGTTTTGTTCGTCCTTCCTGAAGCAGCGAGGCGGAGGGTGACTTCACCTCGTTTGACCGGTACGCAAGCGCCGGGCGGCTGGGGCGCAGCCTTCCCGCACCTGCTTGCGAAACGCGCGCAGGGACACCGCGGACGGGGCGCCGCTCCGCGACCCTGGGGACCCGCGGCCGCCCGGGAGGGGCTCCCTCCAGCCCCCTCCCCTACCGAGACCTTGTCCCCGCCCCACCCCCGCTCCTGGCCGAGGCCCCGCCCCAGCCCCGCCCCAGCCCCGCCCCGTCCCCTCGGCCGAGACCCCGCCCCATCGCTCCGCTCCCGGCCGAGGCCCCGCCCCAACCCCACCCCATCCCCTCGGCCGAGGCCAAGCTCCAGCCCCGCCCCGTCCCCTCGACCGAGGCCCCGCCCCAACCCCCGCTCCCGGCTGAGGCCCCGCCCCAACCCCGCCCCGTCCCCTATGTCGAGGCCAAGCCCCAGCCCCGCCCCTACTGAGGTCCTCTCCCCGCCAGCCCCGCCCCGTCCCCTCGGCCGAGGCCCCGCCCCAGCCCGCCCCCTACCGAGGTCCTGTCCCAGCCAGCCCCGCCCCGTCCCCGATAAGGCCCCTCCTCCACTAGCCCAGCCCCCGCCAGCCTCCTCCCCTACCGAGACCTCGTCCCAGCCCGCCAGTCCTGCCCCGCCCCCGGAAGAGGCCCCGCCCCCTCCCCGCCCCGCCCCGCCCCTGCCTGCGCAGGGCCTAGAGTTGGAAGCGCGGGGCCGCGAGCCCCAGCCAATGAGAGCCGGCGGGCCGGTTGCCCGGGCGACCAGCGCGCGGCCCCGCCCCCCGCGCTGGGCTCCCGCGCGCGGCTGAGTGCGGGCTGGAGTGGGAACGCTGGTCCCCGAGAGCAGAGAACAGGCGATGACCACGTGGAGCCTCCGGCGGAGGCCGGGCCGCACGCTGGGCCTCCTGCTTTTGGTCATCTTGAGCTTCCTGGTGCTCCGCAGGTGAGAGAGAGCCCCGCGAAGCACCTGCCGGACCCCACATTACCCAGCCTTCCGCACCTCGGGTTCTCGCCTCTCGCGACCCGCAAATCCCGGGTTCCCGAGGGAAGCAGCCCCAGTCGCTTCTTTCTGGGAGCTCCCCAACACCCCCGAGCTCCCCTGCGGCTCCTCCGGGCACTCTGCTCCTGCCTCTCGATCCAGGCCTCTGGGCGACACCCGGCGTGCCCTCGGGAGCCGGTGTCTGTGCCCCGAGCCGCCCACCCCGCTGTGCCTGTGATACCCGGCTCTGCCCCTCGTGGACGCCCCCAGCCCTCCCGCCGTCAAGCCCTGTCCCCGCAGCTCCGCGGAAAGCTCCCTCTGCTCTGGCCCCAGGCCCCCCTTTTCCCCCCAAGCCTCTGGTAGGCGCCTTATTCCGCAGAGGCCCGCGCTCCAGCCTCGCAGCTGTGGTCGAGCCAGCACGCCTGGCAGGGTCATAAGAACACTGCCCATGGGCCTCCAGGATCCTGGACCATGGTTTATTTGCACAGTTCGAGGACTGATAGGTCGTCCCTCTCCACTTTCCCACCATTCACCTGTTACCAGCTCACCGTTTCGTCTCCCCCTTTTACAAAATGTTGTTTACGGCAAATGGGTGACTTCAGTGATACCGCGATTTACCCACGGCCTGTGAAAAAGTTTGCTGGGTGCCCTAGCCCAGAGGTTTTCTAGATTGTGCCTATTTTAAGGATCTTACAGCCCTGACCCTATCTTTCAGGTCAGCATTTTCCATATTCAAAACCTCCAGTGGGAAGCCGACCGGCAGTATCGAATGAGCTGAACGGTTGGAACTGGTGGCAGTCACTACACCGCTCAGCTTTGTCATTTGCTTCTTTTTTACTCCTCTTCTTAGTTTCTCTAAACTTCCCCTGTGAGATTGGAAAGTCGTTGATAGAGATAAATATCTGGAAATCTTTTGCCGCCACGAGAAAACATTGACAAACTATGTTTACACCTTGTCAAGACTTGATTCTTGTTTCTGAGATAATATTGTTTGGGAGAAGGACGTGGTTTTCTTCTCATTCTGGGGCCCAGAAAACTTCGAGCATTTCATTTCTCCAGCTGTTCCCAAGATGTTTTCTGTCCTGCCTAAGATCTCTAAGCCATTCCTCTCTGACTGGCCCTGGATCCTGTGGGATGCTCAGCTTTCCTCCCTGTGCAAAGCTTATGCAAACCCCAGAAGAATTACTCAGGGCGGCGGCAGCAGATCCTCCTGCATGCAGCAGAATAGCAAGGCACTCAAGCTCCCCAGAGAAAGGCTAGCGGCTGCAGGCCTATTGCTCATCAGGGATATAGGAGTCTGTGCAGGGGACCCAGGCAGGTCACTTTTTGGGGCAGCACTGTGGACTAGAGATGGGCGGAGTGGCACATCTGAAGTCCTCAGGAAAAGGTATGGGAAGGAGGCTGAGTGTTTGCTGTTGTGTGGTGGGACAGAGGTGGGGTGTCTGACCTAGCTGGGAAGAAGCCTGAGCTTCTCTGAGATGAGGTAACTGTGTCCCCAAGTAGGCGGGGTGGCCACACCGGGAATCAGTCTGGGGCCATTGGAGCGGTGTGGAATGGCAACAGAGAATAAGGAGCGGTGACTCAAGGCTGTGGCAACAGTTTGACATGCCTAGGAAAGTCGTTTTTCCTGCCACTCCATCCTTCTAGCAGGTAGGGCAGAAGCCCAGGAAGCCCTGAAGCAAGTCCTCTTTGGATCCTGTGGCACACATGTCTTTCTGGCATCTTTTTGATTTTTTCACCCTCTGGTACATTCTGCCCCGTTCCTCCTGTCTGACTTGGGCTGGACATCAATGATTATGCGTTGCCGTAATATCTCCGGAGGCAGGAGGAGAACATCCTCTTTGTCTCTCCTTCTTCCTGTCTTCCTCCAGCTCTGACTGGGTCATTAACTGAGTGGGAGGTGGGGGCCTCCCCCAGCTGTTACCAGGGAGTGTTGAGGTGGCCAGTGGAATATAGGTCACATGGAAACTGGCCACTAAGTTCATGCTTTGTGGAGCCGAGCTGTCAGGAGCAGCCCCTTTCCTGTAGCAGAAGGCAGGTACTTGGGCAGTGTCTGGCATGGGGTGGGGGTGTTTGGCTATAGCTTTTTTTTTTTTTTCCCATCAACTTTTCCTTGGGTTGGTTCATGGTCAGTCATGGCTGGTGGGTTACATCATACCAAAGAACCAGGAGAGCCAGGTTGACTTTTGGGGAGGATGTCAATCTTAGGTTTCTTGGGTTGTTTTTAAGCTTGAACAGTGGTCTTTCTTAAAAATTACCTCTATTGGAGTTTGTCTGTCGTGCGACAAACTGCCCCTAGTTAACATGTACAATTTCATATGCTTTGACATATACCTAAATCCAGCTGTGGATTTACCACCACAATTAGGGTTGTGTAAACAGCCCCCAGCCCCCAACGTTTCATGCACCTCTCCGTCATCCCTCCCTCCTACCCCTCCTTGGTCCTCAGCCCCAAGCAACCACTGATCTGTTGCTTTCTGCCAGGATCTATTGGATTGCATTTTCTAGTGTTTCAGAGATTTGTAATCTTAAAGCATGCTTTCTTTTTTGGTCTGGCTTCTTTCACTCAGTGTGTTATTTTGAGGTCTGCGATGCATGTATCAGTGTGAACCATGCCTTTGAGCCAGTTGCCTTTCCTTCCCTTTCTTCTTCCCACTCCATGGACACAAGAATACCTGCTTGATGTTATCTAAGGGCATGGTTCTCACTCAGGATTTTTCCTTCATATAAATGCATCACCGAGCAAAAATGCAGCCAACTCTGCATCTGTCATACCTGAAATTTTAGCTGGGAAAGTTGGGAGAGGGGAAAGCCTTCAGGTGAGCAGGCAGCATCATGCTCCTAAGAGGTAAGTTCATTTCTTCTCTGAGGTCTGTCTAACACGCTGCCCTGCTCTGCTGTTATCCAGATTCCAGACGCCAAATTCTTCCTTTGGAAAGGAAAAAGAAGAGAATGTAGCAAACTCCTTCTCCTGAACAAGGTTGCTAACTTAGTAATGCGGGTCACTTTTTTTGGATCCAAATCATGGCCAGTCCTGTCTTCCAAGAGTATGTGGCCAAATCGTGCCTCTCCTCTTGAGCTTTTGGGAGGTGATTGATTTTATGGGCCTTGCCTATTCTAGGACTCTGCTTTGCTTGAGGCCTGAGTCATATTTCATGAATGTTCAAACGCTTTGAACAGTGTTCCTTTCATCTTGTGGTAGCAAAGTTTTCAGCATCAGGGAAGCAGCTCTTTCAGCAGGTGATCACCTGTTGGATACAGTTGGTGAGGCAGGGCTACCTGAGCAGTGGCTCATCATCAGGAAGAGGGATGTCTGAGCCACCGTGTGCTAGAAGATCGAGTTAGCTCTGGGATTCTTACAGGACCATGCTAGCCAGCAACTGAAGGAGCCCAGAGTTGTGTTGGAGCAGCCACAGTATTGTTGTAGGTGTGATTCAAGGGAGAGACTGGGCTACCAAGAAGACGGGGGACAAAGAGCGTTGGCTGCAGAAATAAAGCTGGCTAAAGGGTTCTTCCCACCTTAAACCAAGGAACTGGCCAGTGAAAGAAAAACATGTAGTCCTTGATGAAGTGATGCACAGTTCCATAAGGTCATGTCAGATGCTCTTCTGGGAAGCATTCAGAAAATGCTGCAGCTTGAGGAGAAAGGTTTTAGAACATTTGGCACCTGGAAAGGACTCTGGGGTCCAGGCACGCACTCCCTCCCTCGCCAGCATCATGCAGCAGAGGCAGGGTTTTTGGTGTCGATGTTGGGATATTCGCTGCTTCCTCTCCACTCAGTTTTAGCTTTTGCTTAAATCTATTGCTCTGGATATTGAAGACGGTATTGAAAAAGAGTTCTCAGGGTGTGGATGTTTCCTGCGACAGAAGGGCAGCAGGTGTTTTTAGAGGCTCGTGCTAACGAGATAGCTATTTCTTGACTGGTGTCTGCCGGTTAGACTCCTTGTTGATACTCACAGCTTCTGTTCTCTGACACTCAGCAAAACAGTTAGTGGGCTTGTTCCTTTAAAGCACAGATTGTATTTTTTTTTCCCTTAAGAAGTTATTTTGTGAGTAGGTAATTTATGAACATGGTAAGATATTCAGAGTGTGAGGGGAATAGAGTGAAAAGAAACTCCCACTCCTGACCTCTAGGCTAGGCATCCTTCCCCATCCCCTCTTAGTATCAGCTATTGTTACTGATAATGGCTTCTCTCAGAGATATTCTATGCATATACAAGAAGAGAGCTGCACATATTATCCCACTTGTCCATTAGACACATAATTTATTTAAACGGTCTTCTGTTGATGGGCATTGATTGTTTGCAGTCTTTTAGTTACTGTAAACAAAGTTGCTGCAGATATCTGTTGGATATATTTCTATAAGTAGAATTGCTGACCGTAGGAGAGATTCATTTGAAATCTTGATAGACATTTCCAAAATAGCACATTTTATTTCTGTTGGATCAGTGTGAAGGAGATTCTGAGCCCAGCTCGACAGGGGCAGGTAGATTCTCGAGTCTTGTAAGAACCGGTGCATGTCTTGTATATATCTTCATAGATAAGTCCTGTGTGGTGGATTGAAGAAAAATATTCCACATAGTTATGTTGTTTCCTATTTATGAGATCATTTCATTTAGAGTCTATAAGCATCTCCAAGAAATGGGGCTTGTTACCAACAGGAGAGGCCTTGTGTCACCCAGCACAGCTTTCACTTCTCTCTGGGTGAGATACAGTCCGTTTCTTGTTTATGATGCTGTCCGGGGTCCCAAAGTGCTGCGGAAGTGCGGTGTCACCTAACGTTAGAACACTGTTCGTTGTTGTCATTGTTGTTACGTGGTTGATTACAGTGAGGGGTTTTTGTTATTTCACTCTTGGATCGCAAGGTTTTGGTCTAGAAAACTCTTCTCCATGTACTCACTTCCTGCAGTCTTTAGGAAAGATTGCCCTCTGAGCCACCAATATTGCTTCTGGGTCAGAGCCTG